GAAAAATACCATTTTCAGTCAGAATGTGCCGGTCCAAAGTGTCTGCCTACTGTACCTAAATATAAATTTAGTAATCAAATTAGGTCAATATAAATGTATTATACTGAACGATATGTGCTAATAAGTTGAATTCATCTACTATAGCCAAGGAAAACGATGAGTAAAAATTAATACAGTGTATGCAAAGTGTATCTTGCTAATGATCAGTAGCACTGAGTAAAAAGATGACGCGAGTGTGACAAAAAATCGAAAAATGAACAGCCAAATCTACTGTGATAGGGTGTGACTCATTACTTTCGAGCTTCATTCTTTATTTTACTTCTCATCAAGGGATGAGTGAACTCTTTCAAAACATTGATGAAAAACTATATAAACTCAATATGAAAAGATTTACAGAAGGAATTAGCTAGAAAAAAATTGCTTCTTAAGATACAGCTGATTTGGTGTGTAAAACAGCTGTATTTTGGCTTATTTCAAATTAAATGAGAATCCCTTCTGTAAAAAGTTTCATTTGCATCTCAGAAGCATGAAATTTATTTTTCTATTATTTTATCTTAGGTGTGGGGAACAGAAATGTTCCTGTACAATCACTACTTTTAACCGGACACAAAATTTGATCACATAAGCAATAAATTTCTTAATTGGAAGCCGTGGGAACGGACGCGCAACACAAGGGAAAAGCGCATCCCCACATATATGTCTTTTTTGATCTCATTATTCCCAAATGTGAGTTCTAAATTACAATTGTGCTGGTGCTGGTCGAGTACTGACAACGTGAGGCAGTATATTTTAATTCTTTGCTCGCCTCGTTAGTAGTCCAAGTTTTCTCGTTCATATTATTTTCTAACAAAAAAAAAGTTTAAATGCTCGATCCAGCATCTGTAACCTGTGAGAGGCAAACGAAGGATATACAAACATATATTTGGATAATATTCTTGCTCATTCTACTGTGTGTTTTGTTGAGTCAACCAATAGTGCCCCAAAGCCTAAAGGTAACACCCTAGTCAGCACTCTCAAGTCATTCGGTGTACTAATGATCTTATCGAGGCGTCTCGCTTAGTAGCAGTTGATCGTAGAATTGACGCGGAGATTTCGGCTGACTCCAACGACCCGGATGTGAGTTAAAAGCACTTCTAGCATATAATGCATTTAATTTAAGATATCGTGCGAGGATCTAAAAGCGTAGAAGATATTGGTCTGAGGCAAGATAAGCTATTTCGTCAACTGTTTGACAGGTCTTAGTCAGTAGACAAGTTGAAATCAGTGACTTAGAACTATGGTTGCCGGAGCAGTACAATGAAGAGTGGTGGATAATGTGAGGCATATATACAAGACTTGGAATAAGTTAGAACAAAGTGGGCGGAAATCATTGTCTAGCAACACTTGTCGAGTAGGTGGCATGTCGAAAGGACCGATAGTCAAGTCGAACTAGTGCCGGAAATAAGTCCACTAAGCTGTGTGACATGTGCTTCACAGATCGACGAGAAATAGAATTCATGCTCAGAATTGTGCGGCTGAACGAGATTGTGTGCAATCTCATGGGCGAGCGTGAAGAACCTGTACAACGAGTTGTCATTAGCATTTGAAGGATAGAGTGACATCTACGTACCATGAGATAAATGCCTTCGATAAATTGCCATTGTGGACGTCATGATCATCTGGTATGGTATGTGTGACTTTGTCAACTAAACGTCCAACGAGCATCTACCAGTTACTCACGCCATGCTTCATAATATCGCAAGTTTACGAAGAGGCTTGCATTGCGATTGAAAGCGATGGAATCGCCTTCCATATCGTAGAAAATGTTGACACTTGTTGGTGGTAGCTTGTACAATGTGCGCAACGGACGGATGACATGTATGAAACGAGCAATCGAATCATGTTTAGCAGCTATGATATTTCTTCCTTCAGGAACATCTATTCAAGGCTTTAGACAGTTAGTGTCTGAGACGAAGAAAGTACGGACCTTTCGCCACAAAAACTTTGATGTCAGACATGGACCCTTAGGAACCGCAATGTAAATAATCTTCGAACAGAATCTTGTACTGAGTAACATACCGATATTTACCAAGTCGCTGACACGGCCTGAGATATCACAATAACCTTCATCAAGGGTCTCATGAACCGTTTGCATAGTTTCGCGATTTTGAAGAACATTGCCACGTTCCTCTCGACACGCTGTGATAGCTTGTTTGATATTTGACTCTGAAGAGAAGACCAGTTAAAATGGAACGTGAATGCAAAACAATTGATGATTACCTATGCTACTTAGAGGCGTGACGTTGCTTTGAGGCTGGTGTGGGGCACTGTCAACACCCGGAAATCCACCTGGAATTGGCGGTGAACGCGAACGACCTTGAGAAGAGGTTGGCCTTGAAGGACTAGTAGATGAATGCCCATCTTCAGCAATAGTGTTGGAGGTATCACCCCTGTTCGCCACACCCAATTTACGCCGCCAATTTGCGAATTGATTAGCAATGCTTGACGTCGGCCGATGCGATCGCTCTTCAAGATCTTTGGATGGAGGAGAAGGTGGGCCATCAGTCGATGCGGGTTGCGGGGGCTGGGATATCGGTTCAGTAGAACTAGATGCAATTGTTGGGGGCGGATGCTGTGGCATATTTGGTGAGATATCAGAAACAAGTTTTTCCATTTCTCTGGCCTGCTCCCTCCTGGCTTGTTCTGCGGCCTCACGTTCAGCACGCTGTTTCTTCAGGATGCGATCCACTGTGAGTTGTATCAGCACCTGGATACTTATACTGTTTATGAAAAGACTGACCGTTGTAACCTCTTCTTCTTAAGGCCCTAAGGTCGGTAGACAATATGGTCATGAACAGCAAAGCATCATTGACTTTTGGCACATCAAAGAGTACACGGCAGAGCGAAATAGCCACTCTAGAAATTGAAAACATAAGCATGACCCAGAGATATGACGTGCACAGATACTCACTCATACATGTCAACCTGTGCATTTCCCGCGAGCCAAAGTTCTACTGGTCCGAAAGTTGCCTTCTTCGCGGTGGCCGACGCATCTTGATTTCGGGAAATCCGAGTTGCTTCGAAATTGAGGTGCTTGGTTACCGTCAATTTGCCAAACGTCCGCACAACGAAGTTCCTTTCGTTATTGAGCCAGCTATATTGAACCTTAGATCTCACGTGCGTGTGCTCATGCAAGAATAGAGGGAGACGCTCTAAGATCAGTGCCCGAACGTCTCTAGCTAGCTTCGCATCCTTAATTTCCGCACTAGTCTTATAGTCCTCTCTGACAAGAGTAGTCAATCGAGGGGAGCCGAGCTCGGAGTAGAAGTCTAGATACAACAGAGATGATGCCTCAATGGATAGCATTCTTGAGGAAAGATAGATTACTCACTCTCCAGGATGTCTTCTTGAGGAGCCGAAAAGACGGAATCACCGAAGAATTGAAACGCATTTGTGTCGTCTGCGACAACAACTTGATCGGGTTTTAGAAGATCATATTGAGAATCCCATTCTTCTTCGTCGAGAGCATCATCAATGGCTTCTTTCTTTGAGCCAGACTTTTCTTTTTTGACACGCCGTATCCCAAGTAATATCGCCGACTTCTTCATGCGTGACACAATGCCAGGAGAAATTAAGCGTCGATTTATGGCAATGTTTCTCAATTCCATGAGATAACTAAAAGTTCACGTTAGTCATTCATGTTCCTAATATGACGGATAAACTTAATTACCTGTCTTTCCCTCCGGCGAGCCGATAGAATCGCTTAGGATCTTCGAGAAGAATCTGCACAATCTCTTCGACTGAAGGTTCATGTTTCGTTCCACATGCACTCAAGAATGCGTTGGCCTTTGTGCCGAAGTCGACGAAGACGAAGAGCTTAGAATGGAGATTCTCACTACCCTCTCGCTTGAAATAGCAATCCTTCGGGGCAAGTAACCGGGCCTGCACCTTTTCAACGTCTTTTGCTGCTGACAAAGGTTGAGCAACAGGAACGATCTGCATCTGTGTCAGCTTCTTCAACTGAGCAGGGGAAAGCTCTATTATGGCAAAGTGTCAACAACAGTCAAGCCTCTCTATCTAATTACGCACCAGTAATTCGACCAGCAAGTGTCTCGAACCATTTTCTTGCCAGAGACGGATCCTTTGGCGGTGATTTCTCCAGAATTGGAAGAATGGCTGATAAAGGCGGGTGCTGTTTAAGCTTGAGTCTGGCCTGGGCGTCGTCACGAACATCAGAATGTGCGACCAAGAAACCGAATACAGCTGCATCGGAGTTCATGAAGACCTGATCTGGTGTACCCATCGTGGGGTTGCCGTCGGGCTTTACTGCAGGTACAAACGGCGGGCTATTTGCCGCTGTTGGGTCATAGTCTGGATATTTGGCAATATTGTCCAAGAAGTATCGCAATCCTGCTGACCGACGCACTTCATCCTGATCTGAAGCTATTGTAAGAATTTCAGACAACGGTGGAAACCGACGAAGGTTCAGCGCGAATAGGAATTTTGCTAATGGAATCTCAGAGAGGTTTGCTATACATCTCTATTGAATGTGAGCTCACCTTCTTCTGAATGAGGCTTCCATTTTGTCTGTGCACCCCAGTCGATGATCGGTAACTTAAGTTGGCGAAATACATCCAAAGGTTCATACAAATCTCCTGCCTTAAACCTCGGCTTGGTTACTTGACCCGTTTCGGCTTCATCGCCTACCGTCTCTTTCGCAAAGCAGGAAGTCTGACGCAAGCGATCCATCTCCACCGACGATAACGTCTGTTGGACAGCGACGAGATACTTGATCAGGTCTGCAATCGTCCAATCTCCAGTTTTTATCATACTAAATCCAAATGATGAATAAGACTATTTCCTGAGAACAAATATTCAACTGACCGATCGAAGACAACTTGAAGTTCAACATGTTTTCGCACTCCAAGCGCCTCGAGTACTTTTTCAAGATTACCCTTCACTTGACTTCCTTTCGGCATTGTCACAACAGGAAGATCAGGGAAGACATGTGCATTCGGGAAATAGGCCTCTCCTGGTTGTTTGAGTCCAGAACGTGTCGGAATGCAAGTTTTATCCTTGAGCAAATTCACAATTTCAGCCTGGTGTGATTTTGACATAGATGGCCAAGCTCTCGCGAGGGTGTTTAGGACACGTTCCGCCCAAATTGCTGAGATTGTAATGTCATGCTCCGGTCCGCCTGCTGATGCGGCAGGACTAACGACGAAGCGCGTCCAGTCAACAATGGTAAGTTCTTGCCAGCCAAAGGTGGAGATAAGGTCGGAAACCTGGAAATTCTTGCTTACTTCGATCGGGATAGTGTGCTCCGGTATGGGTCCGTCGAGTGGTAGAACAGACCCCATCGAACGTAGATTAACGAAAGAACGTATCTGTTCCAACGGCACAATTCTTTCCTTCGCTGTACCCGTTCCAATAGATAGCAGTGCAGCTTCTATGAGTTGTTGTCGCACTTGTGGAAGGTTGGGATGGACGCTCTCTCCAGCGGCCCATACACGAACGAACCAATTCATGCAAGCTACAAGCTCTGTCTGGGAAAGCGGACGAGCGCGAAGTTCGCCAAGCACATCAGCGAAGGAAATGTCTTTTATCAGCCCACGGATTCGGAGCGCGTTGACCAATAGTTCTGCTCCGGTAGCAATTTCTTTTGGGAGGACCGGCAATTGCGTTAGGAACGAAGAGAAGGTCGAGTCCGGGATGCGTACATCCGCCGCACTCTTAACTCCTATGGATGACATGATTGAAAATGGTTGTGAAGTTCCGGAGGAGAAAAATGCGGCTTCGAGTAGGTTAGAAACGACATTCGATGGAGTCGATGGATGGAACGTGAAAAATTTGAGAGCGTGTAGGCATCGGTCTGTCAACCATGACTGGATTTGCTCGTCAATTCCGCCAGACCCTCCTTCAGCAGACGCAGTCCAGAGCTCACGAATACTCATTATTTCGGTTTCGTACACCGCCCGTGCGAGAAATCCACCGACGTAAAGAAGTTCCTTATTCCATTCTGTTGAATATCAGCAAAAGTTCATTGGAACGAATTAATTTACCTACGAGATACAGTACGATCACTAGAACAACTGTAAGAGGTATGTGTCGTGAAGGTCACAAAGTCACTCACACTAGGTCTATAGATTCGCGCTCCACCGTCGGGATGAAACGTGCCGCCATGTGTCCACCGAGCCCTGTAGTCTGCCCTGTGGCATGGCCCTGAAACCAGTAAGCAAAGCGTGCTGTAATAAATGAAGTGAAGTGCTCACAATAAATATCCGAGCGGACCCAGAACTGACTGCTGTCAGTTATGATATTGCGCAGTGGATATATATATACCTACCCTTCCAAGTCAGCCCTCAGTCCTTGAAAAATGCTCCCCGTAGAGTCTTGAAACTTTTCGTCCTCTTTCATACTGGCATCGTATTCAGATTTCCCCGTCTGGCATCAAATCAGCTTCTAGAAGAGAAGGAAACGACCCAATAAGGAAGTGGCGATGACCACACTCACATAAATCAGATCATAACGCAAATGGTTCGGCGGACTCTTCTTCGTAGATCGTTGCAACTGTGACATTGTTATTCTACCAAATTTTGGTCAAGAAAATTCCGCACAAACCTCTGTGCTCATTTTCCTATCTAATCGAACGTCGACCTCCGCGGAAAATATGTGCAGAACGACGCTCGACTTAAGTAACTCTAAAGGGTCTTTCTCTCGTTCTAGTGACAAAGGAGCTGTCTGCGTCTCTGTGCGTTGTGGGGTTGATGACTGCGATGGACTGGAGAACAAAGACGAAAGAGACGAGAAGAAACCAGAGGAGACAGCTGCAGCTGCAGGTTTGAGAGCACGGGCTGCCTGTGTGATGATTTGCATTTTCGTTGTACCCGACTTGTAAACAGAGCGCGCTACTTCGGCCTCAATGAACAACGCTGAATATATATGTCGATTGAGTCGCTATGGAAAAAGGCTCTAAAAGTGGTACATACGTGTCGATGAAATAGCCCTAATGTGCATCGTGCTTAGCGGACTTTTCGTTTTTAGACCCTGCGGAATAGACACCGCGGTCGCACCTCCCGGATCCTTCACAAGTCGTGAAAGCATCCGACCATCAAAATATATGCAAACTTCACGAAGATGGACCATGAATGTTATAGACGACACAAGAAAGCGGCTGAGATCAAAAGCGACGGGCATCGGTGCCGGTTCGCGGAGCGCCATCTCGAATGTTGTCCATTGAGAAGGCTGGGGGAGCGTGCCACGACGAGCGAATAGTTGATCCTTCTTATCTTTCCAATAGAACCCCATCCACTTATCTTTCGTTCTGTTAGCTTCAGCATGCAGAAAGATAATTAGAGATAAGCGTACCCCCAGAAGTTACAAAGGGCTCCTCAGTGACAGAAAATAAACTGTAGAAACCTGAGAGAGATTAACAACTCTCACTTTTACCTATCGCCATCACTCACCAACGCCAAATGCCCCTATCTTTTCCTCATCGGGGTTTCCTTCAGCTGCACATTTTATGAGATTTCTTCGAACGCAATATATCCTAGGAAATCCGCCGTACCAATCTTCTTTAGTCGATTCCAATCTTCCTCGCGGAATATGATGCCATTGTTCTTAAACGTCCATTGAGACACCTGAGGATAGTATTAATAAACCTTTTCAATTTTCACAGCACATGTATAACATGCCGGTTCCGTTCTCAAATCTGGAAACTTGTCAACTACTAGAGGGAGCTCGATACTTGCGACTTCCGATGCTGTCTTCCTTCGATCAAGATGGGCCTGTGTCTCGAAGTGAATTTCTACAGATTTTGAAGAGGCGTCGTCCGAGTTCTGGAGTAGCTCTCGGAAGACTAGAGGTCGCGTAAGAAATGATAGCCGCCGAGTGAATTTGGAACGCACCGGTGAACTCGCCGGAATACCGTGCCAGGACCTTGTCAATAAGAGCCCTTTGATTCACCTCCACAGATTCATCATGACCACTATTCCACTACAAGGAAATGGTCAGCTATGCACTTACTCCTTCCATTCCTGGCTATTGAACGCACCAGACTTTCTCGAGAAACAGCCATGAGCCAACAATGGGCTCGTCGCAGTCCTAGTCACGCTTCACTTCTGAAACAGTCCTCTATATCCAGGAACGACTCTATATATCTATATATGCGACGAGAAGGATGAACGAATGAAATAGCTTGTTGTGATGGTGAGGATGACGCGGCACTACACTGCAGCGCTGGTGGGAGGCGCGATTTGGACGCGTTTGGAACACGTGACGAATACGAGAGTTTGTCAAGCCTCTCACTGAAAGATAGCGTTACCAACTCAATTGCTGTCTTCAGCCAATCAATTGTAAATGCAGGAATTCTCCCGCACAAAAAAATCTCCCGATAGTTTCTCTACGAAGTACTGTAAGCATTGGCGCTACAGGGCAGGTGACCATGGCACAATTGGGTTTGGAGATTCACTCGGCTTTGAATCTCAGCGAGACGGGACGATCATACACAGATCTCTTACAAATAAATCACTAATTCTTTTTTGAATATGGCTGATATGTTGACCCGCTTCCGGTTCGAGAGATATAAGAGACATAACTGCTGCTTCGCACCGCTGGACTGTCCTCGTTTTCGACTGTTATCAGACTGGGTCTTCGAGATTCTGAGCGCGGGCGGAATTTACTGATCAAACAGGTCCAATCCTCGGCTATGGATCCATCATGGTCTTTTCGCTCTTGGGTTATCCACCATGAAGTTGCTATTCTGTCACTGGCTGCTGCAATAATATTGGTCATTTCGTACTCTCTAAACAGCTGCGCGTTGCGCCGTAGGATGCCTCCAGGCCCGGCTGGATTACCTCTTATCGGGAACAAGCACCAATTGCCAGCCCGAAAGCCGTGGCGTGCTTTCGAAGAGCTGAATAAACGTTATGGCATGTCATATATATTTTTATGAGGGCTTTTATTTGACCGAATTTCACAGGGCCCGTTGTGTCTCTCTTCTTCGGAAATACACCTGTCATTGGTATGAATTCGTATATCAAATACACATAGTACTGATATTTCGTAGTTTTGGGTACTGCTCAGGCGGCGTGGGACCTGCTGGAAAAGAGATCCGATAAATACTCTAGCAGACCACGGTTTATCGTGGCGTGAGGATCTGCATGCATTCTTAAACTCAATCGCGACTGAAATATCGATTCGGGCTCTTAGCGGCGAAATTCTTTCAGACAACATGCGAGGATTAATGCTCCCAAATAACGAAGAGTGGAGAAAATGGCGTAAGGTATTCATCGGCCCTTTGCAGCTTTCCTGATACTTGCTAATGACGATGCTATTTGGCGCTGCAGATTCTTCATACTGGATTTCATCTGCGTCAAGCAGCGAAGTACAAATCCATTCAAACACTTGAATCGAAAATCACAATGCAACAACTGGTCGAAAATCCAAAAGACTACGAGAAGTATATTCAAAGGTATGTACTACCATGAACAAGTTTCCTTGTTTTCGGGCTTTTCGTCAAACTGTATTTTAGGTATGCCGCTTCGGTCGTAACCTCAGTAACGTATGGTAGACGTGTTGAGAGTGTCGATGAATGGATAGTGGCGGAAAACATGGCTGCAATGGATTGTACGTGAAGTACTTCACGTCGGATGCTTGCCTCGCTGATGCAGCTGTGCAGATCTGATTAGGTATTAGCTAGTTTTGCTTCTGAGTTTTCCAGGTGATGATTAATATGGTGTTTCTGCGCGTAGTGTCAAGTATGCCTTCTTTACAAAGATACATATACTCTCTGACGATCTTAAAGCATTCCGGGAAAGTATATCGTCGAGTCTTGGCCATGGCTCCTCAAACTTCCAGTAAGTTGTGAAGCCAATGCAAGTTACTCCTACTAAAAACACTCTCTTAAGAAATTCCTGCAATGGTTCCGGCGTGAACCAGAAGTACAGAAAGCAAGGGACATTAAACTACTTACTCACCTAGTTGAGGACGTGAAAGAGCGTATGGCGAAAGGGACCATCCCCGATTGCTTGACTGTTGAAGCATTACAGAACCAACAGAAAATTAGCATGAGTGACACGTACTTAGCCTATTCTGTGTCTTCGCCATTTGGTGCGGGTATTGAAACCGTTCGTTCATCGGTATTTTCATTTCACTTGGATAGATTACTGAAAATATATGGCAGACCTCCGGGACGTTGATGTCTTTCATACGTGTGGAACTTTCATTTAACACAGCTTATGTACATTTAAAACTCACCTATTCTTGCCAGTTGCAATGTTGCATTTCCCCGAAGTGAAGAAAAGAGCACAGTCTGAAATTGATTCCGTCCTCGGTCCCGATCGCATGCCAGAATACGAGGACTACGACAACCTTCCGTACATTGCAGCGATAGTCAATGAGACGCTCCGGTGGCGTCCTATTGCAGTGCTTGGTGGTCAACCGCATGCGTCTACGGCTGATGATGTCTACAATGGAATGTATATTCCAAAAGGCTCAACGGTCTTCGCGAACCTTGCGTCTGTATTTTATTTTCATTGAATTTCTTGTTGTTGACTGGTAATCATCAGGGGGATCATGAATGATCCCGTCATGTTCCCAGACCCAGGAGAATTTCGTCCAGAACGATTCATCAATGCAAAGGATCCGCGCATGGCAATTTTCGATCTTCCTTTTGGTTTGTTGTTTCAAAGATTGCTGTACCTCCGGATAGCTGACCGCCAGATATTAGGTTTCGGACGTCGAATCTGTCCTGGATTGCACCTTGCACGCAACTCGCTATTCATCAACATCGCACGTCTCCTGTGGGCTTTTGACATTCTACCTGCGTTGGATGAAAACGGAAAGGAGATCATACCTGACTCGTGGAACTACACGGATGGCTTCAATTCGAAGCCTGTTACCTTTGATTGTCGTTTCATCCCGCGGAGTGAAAGAGTGGTCGAGACAATTAAGAGTGAATATGATGCTGCACAGGGAAAGTTAGCGAGCTGGTCGTGGTAGATGCACCTTGGCCATGAAGAATAGCTGAGACTATCTACTTTCATTCAAACGTGATGGCTTTTTGTGCTTTCTGTCAGGTTGAGCATAATCACAGGCAAAATGCTGTGATTCATTTCTGCTCAATACTTGTTTGTTTATAACATGTACATAGTAAGTTATCTATACGTCTCGGAAACGTCCTATCACCTTTCTCAATGGCCAACAACATCCTCGAGCTGTGTTTTCGGAATAGCAGCGACATATGCCTTCCTAGCCAAACGCGTTCGCGTCTTCTGTTCGTATGCATATGCATAACTTATGAGATCAAAATCACTAAATGCTGTACCAATGAACGCCAAGCCGATGGGTACCCCTGGCGCGGGATAGACGGTCAACGGTCCTGCACTACGCACAGTCACATTGTCAGGGTAAAAAGCAAGCGGTACAGTGACCATTGGGTAACCGGCAATAGCTTCATTTATATGCAATTTTTCGTTCAATTAGCAAATAGGTTGTCCAGTATTTTGCAGAAGCTCTGCTCACCTGGTGGGACGGTGGTGAAGCCTGAAGCAGGTGCAGGAAGGATGAGAGCATCAAGATTATATGCCTTGAGCGCAGCATCGATCCCGCGACTTCCGCCCAACTCTCTGTCATGGGCTGAAGCTTGGAAATACGTGACATTAAAACCATTCGTAGACTCTGATATTGTAAACCTCCATTACAGTCCCGAGTTAGTGCCTGTTCACGACATCATAGATTTAGTAGAATGTACGTGCAACTCACATCGATTGGTCCATGAAGCCAGCCGGTTCCTCTAGAACGGCATCTGCATTATCAAATGCAATCAGGTCCGCTAGATTTCTAACACCAGTAGGGTTTTTGAGAAGCGCATTGAAATAGGCATTTATTTGCACCTAAAGGAATATATTCGTATAATTCGTACAAGCGTTTCAATCGTTTATGGAGAGACTCACCTTGAAGTCAACAGCAAGTACGAGAGATTCGTTCTTACTTACTGGAATTTCGTCAGCACTGGGAAGATCCGCTGGGTCCACTACCGTCGCTCCAAGGCCTTCTATCGTACGGATTGCTTCTTCAAAAGCTTGATTCACAAATGGGTCGTTTCCTGAGATGCTGTCGTTCAAAAATACCCGACGTGGTACTCCGATACGTGCACCTTGGAGGGCATTGGCATCAAGGGCACGTGAAAAGTCGGGGGCAGGCACGGGTTGTGCGAGAGTGAAGTTATCGTTAGGGTCAGGACCAGCTATTACAGAAAGTACTGCGGCAGCATCAGCGACAGATCGAGCGAGTGGTCCTACAGTGTCTTGATGCTTGGAAACGGGGATAACTGCAAATTGTCTGAGTTAGTAACTTTTGGGATGTGAAGAAAGCTGTATTGCTATCGAAATACCTCCAGTGCGAGAAGTCAAGCCGACGGTTGGTTTGATACCAACGATGTTGTTATTGCTAGCTGGACATGTGATGCTTCCATCCGTCTCTGTTCCAATTGCAACAGCTACAAGGCCTATGGAAGCTGCAATTGCAGAGCCCGATGATGAACCACATTGGATCCGCTCCAGGATAATACGCGTTCGTTGCTTGGCCACCACGAGCAGACCAGCCTGATGCGAGACTGCCCCTGTAGCGAGCCCATTCGGAGAGATTAGTTTTACCTAGAAATGACAAAACATGATCGGTGGAAAGCATGCTAAATCCATTTTACTGTACATACCCAAGATGATTGCACCAGCAGCTCGAAGCCTCTTTACGACTTCTGCATCGTCGGGTACAACTGATTTCAGAAGGGCGAATGAGCCTGCTGTCGTATTTAATCCTGTCGATACTCGCTTAACAGCAGTTGGTTCGGATCACATATCGCCACATACCTTCGGACACAAGAGTGCCTATATTATCCTTGACGAGTACTGGGACTCCGTGCTCCTTTCAGCCTCCTCTCGCGATCCAGAGCCTCGGCTTGAGTCGGAGCTAGCTGGTTTAGTTCGAGAACCGCTCGAAGCTCTGGTCCTTTCAGATTCACTTCTTCGATGCGCGCGAAATAAGCCTGGTATACTAAAAAATGAAATGAAATTCATTTTAATGACTGGAAGACACCACTTGCCTTGACAAGATCAACGCTAGAGAATTGACCCTGCTCGAGCCCAACCTGCAGTTCAAGCACAGAAGCTTCATACAGGTCCGGAAAAATCGATGTACGTGTTCTCTTATCTGCTGAAATAGCGACAGAGCAAGCACACTGGACAAAAGCAAAGAGCGACAGCAGGAAACAGAGAGTCGACATTCCTCCAACAGTTTCGGATTTACTATACCTCCATTTTAAGTCCCTTGGGGCCATCAGAAGAACGATTCGACAGAAGATGTTACGAAATAACCTAGCCCATCGGAGGCCGATGCAAAAGCGTGATTTAAAGAAAGTCATATTTGACACCACAAGTTGCTTCTGCGTTTATGGGCTCAAGGTGGATTATAAGTGACCGTAAGTTCTGTGAAAGGAATGATCGAGTTCGCATTATGGCCGATCGAAGAATCGGAGTCCGGTCTTTCTGACTTTACTCGTATTCTACGTATGGACCATAGAGTCGCGGCCTCCCGCATATCTGCACTTCTACACCACGGTTGATGAGATTACCTTCGATATCTCCACAAGTATTTCATTGTGTCTGTGCCAATGTTTAGCAAGACGTTGTACCATCATTGACGCGTGCTGATAGCACCTACTTAGCAGGATCAGGTGATGTGTGAATTGATTGTAAATGTAGTACTCTTAAACCAGATACAAAACTTATCAAATCAGATTATACCTATAAAGTAGAGGAATACTGGTTAATGGACCAATTAACTGTATCATCGTATTATGTACTGTACATACCGACTCATTACCGAGATATAATTTCCTGAAAACTTCGATGGTGAAGTTCAAAATTCTATACGTAGAGTTGGCTCATAACATATATAGCACATCACGAAAAAGTCGCAACAAATGTATTTAATAATAGCAAAAGTAATCTAATAAAATGATTTCATAAGCATTACATTCTAAAATAA